GGTGCATTCGCACGTGCATGTTGTTTTAAAAATAAGTTTTTGGGTGCCCGAAGTCGAGCTTTCTAGTAGGAGTTAATGGTACCCGAGACCCTTCTTCCTACACGGACTTTGGGAAGTTATTTATGCAAGTTGTAAGGGATGTTTTTATTTTGCATCCACCAATCTTCGTCGGTTATCGTCTTTAATGTGAGTTTTTCCAGAGATTCCAAAAACAAGTTTTTAATTACCAAAATGTTTTCAATTGAATGTATTTTCCCGTGCATCCAGTGCATTGCGATGTTCACTATTTCCGCTTAAAAACACGTGCGTTTCACCAATTGTAAGTTCTGGAAACTTTCTTGCCCATTTTTCTTGTTCTGTTATCAAATTTCCCTTTTTGTCGTTAATGAATGTGCGATTCTGCTCAATCTATTAAACATACCTATTAAAAACTAAGACCGAATGCCTTCTGTTGACAACGAAAAAATGAAACAAAACAAATCAAATGTTGAGATTGAATGCTGCAGTTTTAAAATACTTACTTTGAGGCTTGATTTTTGCCTTTTTTGCCCGGTTTTGAGAACGAATTGTGCATTGAAAAATTGCACCCTGTATTTGATGAATGGCAAAACTAAGGGTGTTGTCATCTACATAACGCCGCTGGCGTTATAATAAAGCCGCCAGTTTTAGAGTTAGGCACGTTTTTCATTTTTCCAGGGTTTTCGCTCAGGTTGAACCATCCTGAGCGTTTAAGCAGAAGGGTTTAAAAAAATCGGGCCATTGTCTTTTGATGTTAAGTTGGCCTTTGAGCCTGGCAGTGGGTAGATTTGCTTCTACCTACTGGTAGATTATCTAGTGCAGATAGACTATAGACTATCTAGCCCATAAATAGCACACGGCACGTGAAAATGTCCATTTAATAAAATTGGCTTCCGTCTTGAGGTTGGAAATTATACAGTGGGTGCACAAGAAGCCGATCGAATCTAAGCCGGATGCTTCTAAAATTACATGGCGCAAGAGGAAGAGGGAACAGCGGCGAGAAAACGACGCCCAAATTAATTGGAGTTTCACTTCAGCTTTGCCATTTTTCTCATTAATTTTTCTCAATCCTTCCATTACATAGTTTTTCTCATTTGATCGTGCCAATAATTTCCAATATGGTCTGTATTCATTTAACACCGATATCTTCGGGAGCAACAACTGAATTACTTTCAATGAAACCTAAACAACACAAAAACCAGTGCACTTTGCATAAATAAATAAATAAAAAATAAAAGGCGAAGCAATTGTGGAGTGAAAAATCATCTTTTGCAATCTTCCAGTGACCATTTGAATTTAAGTTGACTTTATTACACGTTTAACACTCTTAAATCTTTGAAAGCTTTTTTTGAAGATCTACAAAATTCCGAATTTCCGGTCCTTGCATTCTTGACCCAGATTGCAGACTAAAAACTCGCTGTATTGAACTAGCAAAGATTGATATTGAATGTTGCATGAAATATCAATTAGTGGCCCGTTTAAGACAAATTTATCATTAACTTTGGTACAAACCTGCAAATAAATGTTTCTGTGTTCGCACTACTCGCCTTGTTCGTTGAGATGGATTGCGGTTGATTATTTGAGCCTGAAAAAACACATTTTTGCGCGCAAAAATTTGTCGCCTAAACTGGCAAGATTAATGCTGAAAGTTGCCAAATTTAACAGTCGGCATATTTTACAGGAAAACGTTCCCCATTAAATGGCGCGCTGACTAAATTTATCGACTTCCTTTTAATATTTTCTTGGTCGTCTTGAAATACCTTTGAAAAACGAAAATTCATCAGAGTAATCGAGCTTGTTAACAATGATTTTCCACCAGTTTCTAGCCACATCACACGGCGATAATCTGGCCAATGGACAAATTTAATAAAGGTTTAACTAACTGTAGGCCCTTGGAGGAAAATCCGCCCCCGTTCGCTATATCGCATATCGCCCTACCGACCGAAGGGAGCAATCGTTGCGTAAAAATGGAAAAAAATCCACTATTCCCTCCGGGAGTTGAAACGGGCATCGGGATAGGAAGTAGCAACCCTCTGGTAAAACTGCAATAATTGCGTTTCGCAGCTCAAAGTCACGTGCAAAGCCGTCGAGGTGTGAACGCCAAAAAAAGTCGTGATAGGAATGCTCAATGTTCTAATATGATTGTATTATGCAAATGGCATAAGACGTAAAAATGAATTTATTTCCCTGAAAAACCGCAGCATGGATCGGATCAACTTGGGTGCTTAAACATGGGGGAATTTTGCATGAGGCACTCAGAAAGCCAGCGACAATTTCAACCGTGTAGCGAAAGAAAAAAAAGTTTTTTTAAGTACTGTTTTTTGGGGAAATGCGGTTTTCCGCCACTTTCCCCTCATTGAAGTTTGCAATTTTCCCATAAGAAAACCGATCACGCCGTGTTGTATGTTTCAAACATGTTGCACCGGAATCTCGGGTTGCCAAATTTCCCGTTTTGGTGGACACCAGCTTGGAATAAATAATTAAAAAATGTACAAAGAAAATCTAGATTTGGCAAACGCGCGAAAAATTTCAAACTGCTTCGCCCAAATAGGACGTCATGGCGTCGTTTGTTCTCTTATGGAAAATTAGTGCATTTAATGGAAAAGGAAAAGTCCATAAAGGGATTATCTATAAGGGAGCATTTTGTCAACCAATTCACCAAAATCTAGGGAATTTGGGGCCTCATGTGCGGGTATTCTTCTCCAACGACAAGGAAAACTTTCCATTCTTCTTTTATGTGTTAATTATTTATACATGTGGAAAACTGCGGATACGTTTTCAGCCTCCTTTACTAGAAAAGACATGGTTAAAACAGTCGTACATACACATAATAGATTTTAGAGATAATTTAGCGCTAGTTTTAGATGATGATGAGACCTACATCTAAGGGTTTCGAGTGGAATTTTTCGCACTGCAATAAGAAAAGGTCTGTCCTTTCAGATCTCAACACTACGACAGCTTGCAGCAGCAGCAACAGGCCACAGAAAGCCAAAAGCAGCCCTTAAAGGACTCAACTAACACCTCCCCCAAGGTCCAGAAGTTGGTCAGCAACGAAGAAGGGCGTACTAGTAATAGCACAGAGCCATCATCGACCCAAGACAGCGATTCCAACCAGCAAAGTAAGTGTTTGAACGGATTTTATTATGCAGGGTTTAAAGTTGTCGGCAGGGTATATTTTAGAGCCCTCAATATTTTTGGAATGCTCATAAAACCCATACCCATACTTTTATGGGTTGCTGCATATAATGGCGTTCTTGAACTTTTATACCCTTTAAAACCCCCTAGCAGGGTAATAAACAGGGCTTTTAGTAAACATCTAATCTATTTTGTGAGCTTCGCTGCACCGAAGATGGTTTTTTTGTACTAGAATTGTTAATTATATTATATTGCGTATGAGATCAACTTACTTTTCTCGAAGGAAAGCACAGTTTTTCTGGAATTATTTTTGATCTTCTGCCTGTTTTAAAAGACACACATTTTGGAGGCGAGACCCGCAACAGGCCCATCATCAATATGTATTTCATAAATAATTCCCAACCTTTAAAAATATGGAAGCAAAAGTCAGCAACTTGAAATTGTAAAACCCCTATTTATCGGGAACAGTTTTTAAGACCCGATAGTGGTTAGTCCTTTCCTGTTGAAGCCACCCCGTATCGCATAAACCGTCGAAAATGTCCAATGGATTGTTTAGATGTCGAGAGCGGTTATTTACTGCTTTGGTTTCATCAGGTAATCCTCTCCTCTAAACAGGTAGAAGCGAAAGTACATGGGTTCTTCCATATTTCGTGCATTCTTGTACATTTTCGCACATATGTGACAAACAGTTCAAATGATCTCCCAGACATTTCCCATAGAGTATTTGAAAAGCTTTTTTAGCAAAAGTTCCTAACCTGTACATATACAGGGTTATTCACGCTATACGGCGCGGAAGTTTGCGGCTAAACCGTTTGATTTTTAAAAAGTATTATTTTATGGCGCCTACCGAGCGCACATTTTAAAATAATTTTTGTAATGCACAGGGTGTCCCAAAAGCGCTAAAGGTATCAAAGTTACGTTTTTTTAAATGGAATGTCCTGTATATTCTTGCATTTTTGGATTCGCTGAACAAAATAAGTGTCTGTTTTAATAAGGTTTATAATACCAAAATCTTAAGGCTTTTTAAATATGAAGTGTAACAAGATATAATATTTTATATCCCAATGATAATAAACTTACTATGTTATACAGGGTGTCCACAAATTTAAACTTATCAAATAAGAACTTTAAGTGGCTCTAACTTGATTAATTTAAATACAACCCCATATTTTTTAACTTACCGGGAAATGCAATTTTTAATTACCTATCGAATGGTATTAGGATGTTAATAGCTAAGTTTTTGGCTTTTTACAAAATACGTCAAATAGTCATTCTGTGCACCATTTGGTGTTGTTTAATTTAAGGTTCCAATGTATCTAAGTTGCCTATGCCATTTGCACATGTCAAATCATTTATTTTATTTGTCAGTTTAGACTGCAAAGTCTCTTTTTGATAGCTAGAGTGG